AATAGTGCCTCAATATATATATATAATATTTTACTAAATGTGAAATTAAAATTTATAATTTAATATTATAAGAAGAAATTGTAATACTTAGGTTCCAATATTAAATCAAGCTGCTGAGAATTAGGGCTGTCAATTTAGCTCGTTGTTCGCGAACAGCTCATGTTCGGCTCGTTAAACAGCTCGTCGAACGCAAACAAATTTTTAAGCTTGAAATATAAATGAGCCGAACACGAACAATAGTTTGGTGACTCGAAAAAAAATTTATATAACTTTTTATATAACAATATATTACATATATTATTTATATTATATATATTTATGTCTAAGTTTAAATCATAACACCTCATGTAGCAATGTGAGTGTCTTCTTTTGTATAAATTTGATTCAGGTTCGAATCCCACACTTTACATCTATTTTTCTCAATTTTAGTTTAACGAGCCAATTTCGAGCCGAACACGAACACAAATATTTAAATCGAGCCGATTTCAAACACGAGCCAATTTCGAACATGAGTTATTTCGAACGAGCCGAACACGAGCCAAGCCTGAGCTCGCTCAAGCTCGGCTCGTTTACATCCCTACTGAGAATACAGTTTCTTGAGATGGTTGAGTGGAGGGTGACTAAAATGAATAAATACTTCATTTATGCAAAATGATAATCATGAAGATTGAAAATTAAATTTAAAAAATTTATAATTACACAGACTATCATTATATTACATGGATGCCATTATTAAAAAAAAAGGTTGCCAATGAATATATTAATCGTGACAAAAATAAAAGTGTAAGGGTGTGTTTAGGACAGCTTGTGCGTTTCAGGATAAGCAACTTATCATGAAACGCAGCCTGCAGGTTGACCACGGGAGTCGACTCGGGGTCTGCGTTTAGTATAAAAATAGAACCGTGTTTCCAGATAAACAGACAAAAGGCACGATACAAACGGTATAGCGGCGTTTTCAAAAACACCCCCGCACTTATAAGCTGCCCCAAACGGGCCCTAAGAACATGTGTCATACATCTAAACGTTTATCTCTACTAAATTGCAACTATGCATTTTAAAATTGGGGCATTTACATACATAGCATGCAATTCTCACGTATTTATATATCTCACACTTAAACTTGTAAATTTACGCACATAACACTTAAATCTTTAATATGGCATCTAATATAGCATTACTGTCACTTTCAAAAAGTGAAATACAGCATCAAAGCATTAAAGGGCTATGTATGTAAATATGGAGGTTTAGGTGTTAGATATGTAATTACATAAGAACTGTGTTCAACGTGTGTAAATTTCCCCATATGGGGGTGTTATTTGCATAAACAATCTAGCCTGGCATAAGTTCTTCAGGATACTAAAAATAATAAGGCTTTTGTTGAATTATATCCTATTATGAGCCAAGCGAGTTGTCAATCTTAACACAACTTATCCATTAAATACAATTGCAGTTGGGCTGTTAATTTCAATGGAGCCCAGCGGAATTTGGATGATTGTGGTGATTTTGCAAATGAAATAACTATCACAGAACAACTCCAAAAACTAAAGATAAGACAAACAACACAAAATTTATTCAACATTTAGAAGTAGCAGTTGCTCAAGCTCCATCCCAAACAAATACTTCATCACAACAAATTACAACCATGCAGGGTTCTTGAGGTGAGTAACAACAGCCTTAATCTGCAGATAGTTTTTGAGGCTATCCAAACCCTTTTCGCGGCCATAGCCGCTCATCTTAAACCCACCAAACGGTATCGCCGCGTCGAAGATATCGAAGCTGTTGATCCATATAGTCCCAACTCTCAAAGCCCTCATTAGGGTATTAGCAGTGTCCAAGTTTGTGGTGAAGACTCCTGCAGCCAACCCGTAAGCACTCGCATTTGATCTTTTAATTACCTCGTTAAGATCTCTGCCACAAAACAAACAAAACTTGTTACAAAACATTAGTAGTCTAAGTTTAAATATGGAGTTAAGTGTTGATAGCAAGTCAGCTCGGCAGTCAAGTCTTGACGCAATTTGATCCCAAACCAGATTTGATTATCATACGCTCGGTTGGGTTGTTGATTGAAGCTAGCCCAACCCAACCCATAAAATGGCTTCAATCCAACCCATAAAATGAGTTATTTAAAATGGGAGAAAAGTATCAAAATGGCATCCCAACTCTTTCGAGGGGGATCATCTTTGTACCGAATTTATAAAAGTGTCAATTTAGTCTGCTGCCCTGTTATTATGGTTTGAGATAATCCCAGTGAAAACTATTTTAGCCCACATTAAAATAGTCCAGGAATTAATTTAGCACATTCATAATCTCCATCCATCTAAGGAGTTAAGGGCTATTTCGGAACTTTACACTTTAAAACGGTTTAAATTTTAGATCATTTTATTTTAGAGTGTTGCATAGATCTGCAATTCTTATCTCCCGACCTTTTCTCACCCCCCAACCAACCATTAATTATATCTTTTTATTTTCAATTGAATAGTTAAAAACACTATAATTAGGCAACTTAATATTATCTTCCTTAACAACATTCAGAATTCTCATCAACAATTTTTTTTTTTTTTTTTTTGTGGGTCTCAGATCTGTTCTCTTCCCTCTCGATTCATAAAATGTTACCCACGCAAGCTTCATCCAATTTTTCTGCATCTTCTCACAGCACAAATCTCATGGAATCTGCTGATATTGCGATTCCATCTCACTTGAAATTCTTAATGCTAATATTAAGAATGTCATGTTCTAAAAATTTTCCCACATGGAAATCTCAAGCAATTTAGATCCAATGGGTTCCATAGCTATTTGGATGGCTACATAGCAGCTCCTCCTTCACACGTTGCAACCGTCCAATCCTCCACCATTCCATACCCTCAATAAACCATATGCATCCTTATAGATCAAAACTTAGTATCCGCACTATACTCAATTATCTCGCCACCGATCTTACCATATATTTTAAACCTTGATTCATGTGTTGAAATCCGGAGTACAGTTGAACGACGTCTTCAAACCAAGCTTCACCATATTTCAATGGAAAAACAGTCTATGACAGAATTATTTATCTAAAATTAAAGCCAAATTTGATCTCATAGCTGCTTCTGGAGACCCGCTCAATACCGAAGATATGATTCTACAAACACTAAATGGTTTGTCTCCAAGCAATGCTCAGTTCATAACAACCATCCGAACAAGCCTCCAACCAATAAGTCTTGACGATTCATATGCTTTGGTATACATGAGGAGACGAGCCTCGCTAATGAAGCTGCTAGAACTGCCCAACTTTCCAACATATCAGATCCCACGATTGCCTTAAATGTTGTTCGTGGCAGATCAAGAGATCGTGGACCCTATTCTACTTCTAGCAAAGGTTGTAATAATTCAAATCAAGGTAGAGGAGGTCTCGCAACTCCAAAGGCAGATGTAGAATGTCAAATATGTAGCAAATTCGGACACTCCGCGGTTTACTGTTGGCATTGAAGTAATTTTCAATATGCTTCTCCCACAAGATCACCTTAGGCACTATTTAGTGGATCTACACAGCAAAACACCAATTGGTTACTTGATTCCTAAGCTAACACGCTTAACTTCTAATCCTACTCAAATATCCAATGGCCATTCATATTATGGATCATATTAGGTTTTTCTTGGAAATGGTCAAGTGGTTCCCATAAAACTGGCAAAGGCATTTTACTCACTCCACCGTAAGATCCATCTCTCTCAAATTTATCATGCTCCAAAATTATATCATAACTTACTTTCAGTTCATCAATTAGCTCAAGATAATCAATCTTCTATCTTATTTGATGCTCACGGTTTTCAAACTAAGGATCTGAAGACCAACTCCATAATACTTCAAGGCTGTAGCAGTAGAGGCCTCTACCCCATTAACTTGCCATCCTCAACTCATTATGATATGATTGTTGTCACCTCCTTGTCCATCAACTGGCATCATCGTCTCGACCATCCATCTCACATAGCTCTTCTCTAACTTGTGTCGTTTCTTCCTAAAATTCCAAAATCTTCAGTATGTAATTTGTGTTTAGGAGCTAAGGGTCGTCGTTTATCTTTTCCTTTATCCATTAATCTTTGTTCTACCATATTGAAGGTTACGATGTATGGGGTACCTTCCCCAATATTTCAAATCAAGGGTTTAAATACTATGTTTCGTTTATTGATGATATGTCTCATTTTTGTTGGGTTTATCCAATGAGGATATAAATCTGATGTGTCTTCTTGTTTTCTTAAGTTTAAAACACTTGTTGAAAAGCAACTCAACAATCACATCAAAATTTTACGCTCCGACGAAGGAGGTGAATATTGTAACACTACATTTCAAAATATTATTTCTCAATATGTAGTTATTCATCAATATTCATGTCCATATACGCCCAAACAAAATGGTGTGGCGGAACGAAATCACCAACATATTCTAGAAACCATGTGTACCGTATTTCTTGATACAAATATACCTCAAAATCTTTGGGTAGACACTCTTCTTATAGTTGTCTATCTAATTAATTGTGTTCTATCTCCTACAACTAATAATAACTCTCCTTATTATGTTCTTCATATAAAACATCCCAACTACAAGTTTCCTAGAACCTTTGGATCTTTGTGCTATCCATGATTACAACCACAATCCTCCAGCAAGTTTATGTATCGTTCCACTCTATGTGTTTTTCTTGGATATTCTCTAAACTTTAAAGGCTACAAGTGTTATAATCCTACTACTGAAAAATCACTATATCTCGTCATGTTATATTTTATGAGAATGTATTTCTATTTCAAACTAGCCTTCACACTCTCAATTCACCGGCCATAGATACTACACCATCTCAACCTCTCCTTCTTAGTCCCTCATCCATCAATTCAAAATCTATTCCTATCGCCTCTCCAAATCAGCCAACTCTCGGCCCAAATCAACAAGCTCCACCTTCTTCAATTGTGCCTACTTCACCTAACGTCCTTCTAAACCTGCCAGCTTCAAGTTCGTCAACTTCCAATCAACCAAATCCAAACTCGTCTGTTCCAAACAAGCATGTTTCACATATTCCCACAGTCGAACCACCTCACACGCTAATTTCGTCCACCCCTTCTCATCCAATGGTCACTCGTGCCAAATCAAGGATCCTTAAACCGAAGCAAATTTTTTATTTACAGCACAAAATTATTACAAAATCAGATCCTACATGTTATACAAGTGTCATATCATAACTGGAGACATGCTATGTCTTAAGTATTCCAAGCCTTACAAACACAAGCCACTTGAATAATAGTGCCTCAAATGACACTTGGCTGCAAATGGATATATCGCACTAAATATTATTTGGACGGTTATATTGATCGTCATAAAGCTCGTCTTACGGCCCAAGGTAATAATCAGGAATATGGTATTAATTATGTTGAAACTTTTAGTCCCGTCGCAAAAATGCCTGCTATTCGAGTTCTTCTTATGGTGGCTACTCATCACAATTGGCCAATCACTCAAATGGACGTCTCAAATGCTATTCTTAAAGGCTCTCTCAAATAAAAAGTTTATATGCATCAATCCATGGGTTTCATTGATACGCAATACCCGCATTACGTTTGCTTGCTACAAAAATCTATTGATAATTTAAAACTGTCACCAAGGCAATCATTTGCTACTCTTTATGTTCATCTCAAGTTTCTTAATTTTTCTCAAAGCGAAGTGGATCCATTGTTACTTATATACATTCATGGGAAAATTCAGATGTATTTTCTTATCTATGTTGACGACATTCTACTCACAAGCAACAACACCTCAGCAATATCTATATTGATATCAAATCTTCATCATAGGTTCAATATGCGGACTTTGAGACACCTTTCCTATTTTCTTGGCATTCAATCCACTACCACAAATTATGGACTACACTTGAATCAACACAAATATGCCTTGGAGTTACTCAATCGAGCTGGTATGAAGGATTGCACGCCTGTTCAAAATCCAACTACTACCAAATATTCATCTACAACATCATCTACTTTAACGATTTCATCTTCTCTTTATCGGCATTTGGTTAGATCCCTTCAATATCTCACGATTAAAATGTCGTACATTTCTTTTGTTGTTAATCGTCTCTGTCAAGGTATGCATGATTCAAAAACTCTTCATAAACAGCAACTTAAACGAGTCCTAAGACATATTAAGGCAACCTCTCACCATGGTCTTCCAATTTATCAGGATAATATTCATTTTCTAGCATATTCTGACTCGGATTGGGTTGGGTACTCATCCGATAGAAAGTCTACAATATGTTCTTGTATATTTTTAGGATCAAATCCAATATCCTGAATTGTCAAGAAACAGTCTACAATGGCTTGTTCTTCTACTGAAGCAGAATACCGTGCATTGGCAGCAGAATTAGCAACTGCTACTGCCAATCTTATATGGATTCGAAGACTTCTTGTTGAGTTTGGAAACCTATAAACACTCTAACTACATTATGGTGCGATAACATTTCCTCAATTGTCTTGGCAAATAATTTTGCATTCCACGCCCGCACTAAACACATTGAGGTTAACTTTCATTTTATTCGTGATTGCATCACTTCCAAGCAAATTAATGTTTATCACATTACTACAAAGGATCAGCTTGATGATATTTTTACCAAAAGTCTTCCAAACCCTCAATTTCATGCTCTTCGAAGCAAATTGACCATCCCTAAGGATCCTCAATTTGAGGGGCAGTAATAAGATAATGGGATATTATTCTCTGCGTCAGTTATGCGGGTCTATGGATAGCTTGTTCCTTTGGTACCTAGCAAATTAATCTACAGTTTACACTTGTCCCATCTGTCAACAAATTCTGACAGTTCGTTATTATCCCCGTTAGTGTATATATATATATATATATGTGTGTGTGTGTGTGTGTGTGTATTCGCATATTGAGAAGGGTAACGAAAAACATAAAGGGAAAATTCATATTTCTCATCATTGGTTTTTCTCAAGTATGCTTTTTTTCTCTAAGCTTGCAGGTTGAGCCGATTCTTCTGTTTCTAGTTTTTATTCTGGACTTCAATAGTGGAGAAAGAACTGAGACAACTGTTGAAGTGAAACAGAGGCATTGGTATAGTGAACTGATAAGGATTGGGGTTTTCAACATATACATCATCATCGTTGAAGATATTTTGTAAAAAATCTATATAACTACTCACGAAAATTTCAAGATCGATTGAACTGGCCCGAAGATCTCATGCTTTGCTATCTCCATTCCATCCTGAAGAGCCCACACATGAAATTTGGTCACAGATACTTAATAGTCTAAGCTACAATTTATGGCTAATTAATAATAATGTTAAACATTACCTTGACATCTGAAAAAATGGTAGGTTTAATGAAATATCCCCGGTCACCGTGTCTCTCACCTCCAGAAACAAGTGTAGCCCCTTCTTCAACCCCAGACTTTATGAAGTGCAGGATCTTGTTGAATTGCTCCTCATCAATCTGTGCTTTTACAAGTCAAACCCAAGGCTAAAAAAGCTTTGCCCATTAAATTACAAAACAAAATAGGTTTGGAAGGGTAAAGAAGTTTGTGAGTAATTGGACCTGAGGGCCTTGCTCCACACCCTTCTTGAATGGGTCACCCACGACACGCTTTAAAGCTCTAGCCTTTGCTTTCTCCACAAATTCATCGTATATGCGCTCATGAACAAAAGTACGTGAGCCAGCACAGCAACATTGTCCCTGTGAGAAACACCATGTTTTGTAGAGTTTTTCAATTTATGCAAGATAGTACAATTTCATGGATAATTCACATAAAAATGCTTGTATTTTGATCATTTTATGAAGAAGTGTTAATAGTCTAAAACTTTTTAAAAAGGATAGACATTTAAATGCTGCGATTTCTTAATATCCTATCAATATGGTTTGTTTTGAAATACTAGTACTATAACTAAAGCAGCATCCAACATACGCTAAGCTTTATAAAAAATGTTTAGAAAGAGCAAATTAATAACACATAAATGAAACAAGAAACTAAAATTATAAAAGCTGAAAATCAGAAAGTCAGACCTGATTGAAGAACAAAGCAAAATGGGCAAGCTCCACTGCTTGGTCAATATCGGCATCATCCATAATAATCATGGGAGATTTACCCCCAAGCTCTAAAGTCACTGGTTTAAGGTTGCTTCTTGCAGCCATTTCCTGAACAACCTTTCCTGTACTAGTTGAGCCAGTAAAGGCAAGCTGAACAGCAACAAAAAAAAAAAAAAATTAACATTAAGATTAATAAAGACTAAATTACAGTGGCCTTCATTTTAGAAGATAAAATCTTTCAATACATAAAAATTTCAACTTGTTTACATTCACATAACTCGTATCATTCAACAGCCACATGCAGAATTTTATTCTATTGAAACAATATGCAAATACATGGGAATTTTATGCCAAATCTCTCAGCTGTTAACATTTAATAAATGAATGAAGGACCACCAAGACTGCAAATGTTAGGCTTCGCAACCGGGCATTATATGTAATGCAAAATCCATGCCACTCTTTTTAGTGTGGTAGTGATAGAAGAAAAATTAGATGTTTATAAATGGAAAAAACCTTTAATAGTATAAAAGAAAACATATAGCAACATTATAAGTAGATATAACATGCAAAAAATTGACCTTATCAACATCCATGTGACTAGCAAGAGCAGCACCAGCGGTTGGGCCATATCCAGAGAGTACATTAAGCACACCATCAGGGAGGCCTGCCTGAAGATTAGCAGAGATTTAATATAAATATGTGATTAAAAAAATGGGATAGAAATAGAGGACAGAAAAACAACAAATTTTAACTTGTACTTATTTTCAAAACAGTAGAAGAAAAAGTTTAAGAATTTGATAAAGTACTTCACAAAGAAAGTAAATTTGCTTTAGATCCTTGTAAGGTAAAATTACACATCACTCCATAAACTTCATTTAGGAGTAAACTAAGTTTAATGACATTGGCTGTGCACTGTTGGGGTTGGGTTTTGTTTTGATTTAATTGTCTTCAGACTAAACATTTGCAAAATTTCAAAAAAGTAATGTTTGCCAAAAAAATAAGGAAAATGCAATAAATATATATTTAATTCATCTAAGTTTTATTTAAACCACAATTTGTCCGTCAAATAGCTAATTATGCTCAATACCTATTAAAGCTAAACTATCAATACAATCAATAATCAATTAATAACTTTAAAGTTAATTAATAAAATATTAAATAGGGAAACAATGTGAAATTATGATAGTTGCATAATAATAAACCTGAAAGATCTTTAATATTATCCTAATTAACCATTAATTAGATTAAATTAATTGTTTATTACTAGTTGCTCCAACAAAAAACCGTGAATTATTTATCCCAACAGTAACTATCATAATTAAGAGAAATTATTATGTGTGGAATCCTGATGCATTCGGATTCCGTGTACAACAATATTGTGTGTTGTAGTACAATATGTGTACAACAGTGTACAACAGAGTCCAGATGCATCCGAACTTTGCACGTATTATTCTCTCCATAATTAAAAAGTAATAAAAGTTTAATGATTTTGAATAAATCAAATTCAACAAAATTAATCCAACCAAAACTTTTGTATCCACGTTTATAAGTGGTTTAAAAAAAATTCATGAAACGAAACAAACCAGTGCTTCCAAAATCAGAAAACAAAAGAATAGCCTACAAATCATAAAAAGTCAGAAAATTCAAATAAAATTGAATTCAAAACATACCATAAAAATCATATATTAATTATACTGCCATGTTGGGACAAATATACCTTACTTTTGCTGAAAAAGGAAAATAAAGTAAAACGAATGCAAGAGCTTTCAAAATTTAGTTGTTTGGTTGCATGAAAAAGGAATGCAAATTAAGTTGTTAATATATTTGAAATTCGCCATTTAATTCATATTCAATGTATTTAAAAATAGCCTGATTTGGCAAGCTTCGTCCGTTGCTAGCAACTATTGCCGTCGCCCAACTACTGACTCTTGTTATGTCGCTAGCCACCAGTCAACACCATTGGGGTTTATACTCAATTCATTTTACTTTAAACAGAACACAAATAAATGATTTCCTATAATTTCTTTATACTGGACCAAATAACTCTAAAAATAATTTAAATATACACTACATTTATTATGCATAAACGATGCAAGAGAGAATATCCGAGGAAGAAAAGAAATTATTTCAATATTTGTTAATCACAAATACAATGGACATATATAGCCATGTGATGGCAAACTAGTAATACCCCTTAGGGGCACAACAGACACTTTACATAAATAAAGTCTAGTCTCAGATAAGTGTTAATAATGCATCATACTCCTTTCATATACTCTATCTCTCTCTCTCTCTCTCTCTCTCTCTCTCTCTCTCTATCTCTATCACTATGGTCCCATGGACCATGCTTAACCTAATATAGTGTGGAAAACTAGCCTCATGTACAGAAGTGGTATTGAAGTAAGCCGTTGAATATTAGCAAACAAAGGCAGGACCGCAAACTTCAAATGTTCATTCATCTTTTTAATTATTATATCAAAACAAATCACTCATAATAACTTTGAGCACTTGAGGAAAAATATCATGAAAATATTGATGCAGAAAAGAAGAAAGCAAGTAGGATGATCAACCTCATGTAGTAATTTAGCTGCTACTAATGCAGATAATGGAGTCTGCTCTGCAGTCTTCAGCACAATTGAATTCCCACATGCAAGCGCTGGCCCAACCTTCCAAGCAAACATGAGAAGAGGAAAATTCCATGGAATTATTTGGCCTGCAACACCAATAGGTTCATGCAATACTTGCACATGCAGCAGGAACAATCATTCCATGTATTTTATCTGCCCAACCTGCATAATTTGTAGAAGATGACAATTATAGTAATTATTCATTGCATAAAAAAAAAATCTGATTTTCATGATGAAGCATGAACTCTCTCTCTCTGTCTCCTTCACACATTACCTGCATAATATCTAAACAAACGAGCAACCATTGGGATCTCACCATGGGCAGCCTGCTCATAAGGCTTCCCATTGTCCCAAGTCTCAAGTGCAGCAATCTCATCATTGTGCTTCTCAATCAAATCTGCAAATCGATATAAAATGCGCGATCTTTCCTGCACATTGAATTAGAATAAATGAACTTAAGAAACAAGCATTTGAGCAAGCATTGAAATGGAATAACAAGAGGAGGCAATGGATTAAGAGTAGTACATAGGCTGACATCTTTGGCCATGGGCCTTCATCGAATGCCTTACGAGCAGCCGCAACAGCTCTGTCAACATCTTCTGCATCTGCTTCAGCTACGTGAGCTATAACTTCTGCAGTTCTGGGATCTAAGGTTGGGAAAGTCTTTCCTGAAGGTCAAGAGAGTTTGATCATGGCTGGCTTTAGAACGTATGGATATAAAAAAAGATTGGGTTTTCACTGAACAATCTCATATACCTGATACCGCGTCAACAAATTGGCCATTGATAAGAAGTTTAGTGTAGTTCACTTGAACTGGAGGTGTTATTGGTTCTTCCAAAGCAGCAGCAGCAGTGCTGAGCCTTTGAATCCCAGAAGAAACACCAGCAATTCTCCCTAAAAATTGGATTCCTCAAGTTTATCAAATTCGGTCAATAGCGCGCTAAATCCTAAGATAAAATTCAGCTAGAATTAAGGGTTTAGTATATAGAATAGAAGAAATGGTAAAATTAAAATTCTAAAATTTCACAGTACTCCTTTGTTAACAAAACACAAATGCCAAGTCCACGTTCAAATCCCTCATACACTGTGCATAACTGGCGCTTACAGACATGCAAAGGTTTACAGATGCTAATCTGGGCTCCAAACGCCAGGAATTAATAAGAGAAAAAGGCGAAAACTCGTCTTTTAATTACTATCAATTGGTAAAGCGGTAGAGCAATTAAAAATCAAATCTTTCATCTCAAAACAGATGATATCTTGCCCGTAAAATTTCAACGCATAAGAAACGAAATATTCAACGTTGCCAAGAGAATAAGCTTCCGGAATTAAAAAAAAAAAAAAAACACCATCGTTCTCAAATCCATACTCAGAATCAAGAAAGAAATATCCATCAAATCATTATGAAGGCCTCAGAGGACAGAGTTTCAAGCCAAAGGCCAAAACAAAAATAAAAACAGAGCAACTCGGAGCATCAATCCTCAAAACACCAAACCTAAGAAGATAACTTTAGTGAGCCTTCAGATTGGCAAAATCCGGAAAAAGAAAAATAAAAAATAAAAAAATCAATTTTTTTTCTCTAGCAAATTTGTAGAATAAGTAAACTCCTTTGAAACGACAGAGAAAGAGAAAACATTCAGCAACCAAATTTCTAGAAAGCGAAAAACACTAAAAACCATCATTTTAAGAGATTATCGTCAACGCCTAAGCAATAAAATGGTTCAAAAACGATTTTTTCATCCAATAAAAAAAAGAAGTGAGAAAGATGATAATAAGATCAAAAGAAAAATAATAATAAAAGAGGTGGCGGCGACCTCGAAGCAGATAAGAGGAAGAAGAACGAAGAACAGAGTAAGAAGATGGTGAGATAATAGAAGATGCAATCCTCCGCGCTGCAGCCGCCATGGCCTTTATTATCAAGCAAAATCTTTTCCTGCGTTTCAGGATCAATGCTCTACACGCTAACAGCACTGACAGGAGGATATTTATGGAGCCGAAAAGCTTTCTAATTTCAATAAGATCAATGCGGATTAATTAGCACAGAAATGTGGTCAAAAAATTCAACAGGACTTATCCTTTTCTGTTAAAATTCATCGGTGAAAGCAGAAAACTTTTTTAAGTAAAAGATGCATATAGTCAAAGATTAGGTCAGATTTCTGGCAAGTTTAGCATGGGGAACGCATAAAGTCGGGCAAATTAAGTGTTTTTGTCCATTCTAATTTTAAGATTGGGAAATTTATGAACATAGCACACAATTCTTATAGATTTATATATCTCGCACGTAAATTTTCATATTTATACACATAGCACATAGGTACTTTAAATCTCAGCACCAAAAGGTGTATTTCACTTTTACCACAAAACTAATTTTTATGGATTATGATCTAAATATTCTCATAAAGAAGAATGACACCAAACATATCTGAGGCAAGTCCAATTGTGTGATTTAAGATTACTAGGATAAAGCAGGAGTATGTCCTTTTTCTTTTATTTTATCAATTGGACTTGTCATATCATTATTGCCCCCACAAACCCAAAGCTAATGGGCTACCAAATTGATTCCCTGGTCATGATAAATCACCTAAAACTACTCATAATTCATCTATGAAGATTTAAGTTTTGTGGAGTTTTTGGGACCACCATAATTTTTTGGTTGATGAATTGTTCTTGGTATTCAAATGCACTTGAGAATACAAATATTCTTTAATAAGCCAAAAGGCATGATGTTCAATTATGATAATTATTATCAATTTCAACGATTTCCTTTGTATAGATCGAGACTTCTCTAAGTCAATACAACCACTTCAAGCATTCATTTCATAAGTTGTTTAATGCATTGGATTCACTAAGACATTAATAGCATATCATCTATTGTGGCATATTAATTACCTATACAATAGATTATTAGTTCCTTACGCATGTTTTACTTATTTTTATATAGCATACTCTTATTTTTACTTATGGATATACATGTTATAGTTAGTGAGAATATTCTTTATGTATATACTAATATAATAGATCATGTCGCTGAGGCATATCTATGGAGGCTTCCCACTAATTGAGGATATTATTACATTTTTATAGTAAATTCATCTTAGTAATCTATTCCTATATTTTTGCCTTCTTCTTTCGTGTTTCCTTGTACCTGTCACATCATTATCATTATTTAATAGCAATCGCAAATGTGGTAATTAAACTCTTCTAAAGTAATTATGAATCCTATATACATTTATTTTTTTAGCTTTTTGTGTTGCTCACTCACTCTAAATAAGAGACTCATCTTAACATCAAGATTATTGCTTACGAACATCATTTTTACCATAATAAAATTAAGCAATTAAAAATGGTTTAGCTAGTTAAGAGGATACATACAAAGTTTAAAAATTGAATATTTGATTCATGGAAGACGAGAGATGAGCTGCAATTTAGAATGAATGAAAGGAAGGTCTAGCATTTAAGTTGATGTATTTTGTAATATAGAGAAAAGCAAAAATCTATAAGGCAGAGAGAAAAAGAAAACAAAGATATCACTCAAAAAATTTTAAGTAGATGGATTGATAACTGACATCCTTAATATAAAGAGAAAAAGAAGGTACCACTAAAAATAATAAAATAACAAATGCCTTGATTGTAAACTATCTGGGTGGGTCCCCGGGGGGGGGGGGGCTTAAATAAGGCTCAATTTATATCTTATTAATTTATTGTTTGCAAGGAAGTTCGTGACATGGTTTCCATAGAAAAACTACACGTACTCTCAACAAAATTCAATTGCCAAAAAATTCATCCAAGGCCATTGATCATTTAACCTCTAAAATCCTTATGTGTGATCAAAGGTTCATTATGTAATTATAAAAGTAGCTCCTCATCTATGTGTCTCAATTAATGACTATAATAGCATGATTTTTTTTCTAATTCATTTGAAACCTTTCTTAGCTTCAACAAACACTAAAAAGTAATTGTTATCTACTTATAACATTAACATCTTTCATATTAATACTTAAGATTAATGTTATCTCCCTAAAAATCAATATTCTCTACCCTATTATATCTTATTGTGTTCTAGAAGTTAATATCCGGGAAAACTATCTCCATTCTATCAAGTTTTGGCAGCTCATGTCATAAGAACATTATCAAATTTGTGTTATCTTTGACCAACATTGTAGTATTCAGAAGAAAAAAAATAAGGCCTACCATTTTCACTTCTCCTTAATCTATTATTTTGATCATTAGGTTTGTCATCTCAAACATACATTTGAAAGGTTTTGAAGATTCTTCACTATTTTCATGTAGCCAATGTTTGCCAAAATTAAAATAAGAAATTTGAGAAAATAAACAAAATAATTTAAAATAAATTGCTTCAAAGAAAGTTTTTTAAAAAATAGCAAATTGTAATCATCTACAAAAATTGTAAGAGTGTTATGCAATGCATGTCAACAAATTATGAAGGCAAGATAGAAAAATATGGTAAGCACGCCAATATATATAAGGATATATTCCATATTACCGATATAGTAATTATGCAAGTAACTATTAAGATTTTTGTTAGAAAGAGAATGATGTAAAACTTAAATTCGCCTAAACTTCACAATTTGTCATCAATACATACTATGAGGTGGAATAACACTTGAACCCTCCTCTTTTAATCTAGAGAAATGTAGCTCTAAATGGACCATTCCTCAATCGTAACTTTTTTTTCATATTTTTTTCCTAACATTATGATTTGAAATCTCTAACTATGCATGTATCTCTAACTGTAGGCATCATATTAGGGAATACAAAGTGGACTTCATTTGCTTGTTAGAATCCCCCCCCCCCTCCCCCTCCTCACTCTGGCCCTTTTCATTTAAATCATCTCAATCTTTTCCGTAATAAAAAGAGTTCTAATAACTTTCATATGGCTGATAAGGGTAGAATTAGGGTCAAATAGAACCCTGCTACTGTAAATTTTATTTTTTTGTATACTCGAGCTCAATCTATTCATGGCATTGTTTATTTGTCCTCTTATGTCACTCTAATTACTACTTTTATTTATGTTGATAATAGTGTTTTAAAGAGGAAGGATTTTATCTTGATACTCTGGCTGAGGAAATTTAGAAGCATTGGATTGTTATGGGTGATTTTAATTGTATTAGAGAATTAATGAGAAGAGTACGGCGGTCCCCCCTATTCCCAACAACATTATTGATTTTAATAATTATTTTTACAACTTTGGTCTTATTGACCTTTTTGGGTCTTTCTTTCTGTGAGCTTAGCTAATATAAAGATTTTCTTATTAGATATCTGCTGAACATAGCTTTTTGTAATGATCATTAGGTGGTGAATTTTCTTTCCTATTACTTCAAGATTATGGAAATTTGAACTCTTAAGTATTTTTTTATTACTATTCATTTTGGTAAACCTAAAAAATTCTCTTATAGATTCATGTACAAAAATTATTATAAATATTTCCTTAATTTCCTTTTAGTTGTTCAATCTGCTTGGGTTGAAAATGTGAAAATTTCCTTAACTTAGATCTAAAGCTCAAATATTCATCTTGCTAAATATATTAGGGAGCTTGTGGATTAGCAAACTGAGATTATGTTTTATCTTAAGATTAGTCCTTTTGATATGGCTCTCATTTCTAATGTTTCTTCCGTTCAATCACAATTACCTAATGTTTTATATTGTAAATATAAATTGATAAAATATAGAGCTAAGTGTGATTGACTTTCTAAGGGAGAGGATGATATTAAATTTTTATTCCAAAAAATTTAAAATTAATTATTTCAAAAACTTTATAAAGGAGATTCATGCTAATAACTCCTATTTTCATTCTTAAGAGGATGTTGTTATGAAGGTTATTTTTATTTCTCTGAGCTCATTAACTATCCTATTTCTACCTTTGCTTATGATGTTGATATCCTTTTTGTAAGTCAAATTTTGGATCAAGCTGAATATGTTGACCTTATCAAGGACTTCTCTCCTTTGAGATCCTTTGAACATCTCTGGGTCTGACTATATTGTTATGATGAATCATTTTTTTCATACTTATAATCTTCATAATATAATTAATCACTATGTTATTAATTTTATCTCCAAGCTCAACCAGGTTCAATTTTTTAGTGAGTTTTGGCCTATATCCTTTCTAATACTATTTATGAAATAATTTCCAAGCTTCTTGCAGATACACTCAAAATTTTGCTTCCTTTTATTATTAATCCAACACAAGCGGCCTTTATTGTTGGTTGTGATACAACATATGATATAACTCTAGCTAATGAGCTTACATTTGGGTTTAATTCTGCTCATACCATTGCAATTTTTTGTACCAACATTGATGCTAAGAAAACCTTTGATATTGGTAAATGATACTTTATCTTTAATAGAATAACTAATCTATCCTTTCCCTCTATTTTCATTCAATGGATTAAAGCATGTATCTCTAATGTTTATTTTATTATTATTATTAACATTGAAATGATCTCTAATGTGTGTTTTTTTTTTTTTTTGTAATTATCAACAATGCAATGAGAAGTTTTTTTTTCTTATGTTGCCTTCTCACCCCTTATCTTTTTCCTATTTTGATAGATGTTTTTTTAGTCTTATGGATGATTAAAATTCTCATTTTCTTATGTCTAATCTCATTATGAATAAGTGCAATATTTTCCATCATATCTATATGGATGATTTGTTGATTTTTGGTGAAGCTGATATTAATATCATTTATAATCTCAATAGTATTCTTGACATGCTTCATAATAGTACATCTGAGTGTAATAAGACTAAATATGCAATTTGTTCAACTAAATTAGTTGATTCTAGATTGCAGCAATGCATTTATGATGTGTGTGGCTTTACTCCGAAGCCCATTCCTTGGAATTATTTAGAGGTACCCATTAAAGCTCTTAAGATTCTTGCTACTAATTAATATAATATCCTGGATTAATTGCAGAGTTTGCTTGTTAGTTGGAAATATAATCATCTTTCCTTTGTGTCGACATAAATACCCCCATTTAGATTATATGTACTAAATGTTTGGATACATAACTATTCCTGAATAACTTTGTTGACCTCACTTTTGGTTGAGGTCTAGAAACTTC